ACACACACACACACATATATATATATATATATATATATATATATATATATATATATTTTAAGCGTTTCACCCTAAGCAGGCGGGAAGCCACTAGGACGCAAGGGGTTACAGAAGATTTGGAGCAAGATCAGATAGCAGTGATAGAGGAAAGGATGAGGAGAAGGATAGTGGATAGATCAAGGCAACTGGAGATGTCGATTGACATTACATTTGAATAGTTGGAGATTATAGCTGGAATAGGGAATGGGGTTCCACAGGCGAGAGGTGCGAGACATGAAGCTATTGGAGTAGAAGAGACGGATACATTTAATAGTTTCAACAGTGAAAGGGTGAGAATAGGATGCCAGCCTCGTAGGGCGCTTGAACTCATGAAGTCTGGGAACCAGCGAATGCAGCTCCTCGGACAATTACCATGAAAGTATTTGTAGAAAAGACAGAGAGAGGCGACAGCGCATCTGTGAGAAAGTGACTGTAGACGAGATGCCAGAGCAGGGCCAATTATATTGCATATCCGCCTCTGGAGCTTATCAAGAACCCCGAGGCAAACAGAAGGGGCTCCAGACCATATATGGAAGCAATACTCCATGCAAAGACGAATTGTTGATTTGTAGATCTGCAGGATCGATTCCGGGGAGAAAATTTTCCTGGCGCGGCACAGGGAGCCAACTTTCCTCGCGGTGGACGAAGCAATTGACTCAAAAATTTGTTCCATCTCAGGTCAGCAGTCAACGTGAGACCGAGCAGCCGCAGAGAGGTGCTCCCGAGAAGTTGAGCGTCAGACATTCAGGGCAGGGCAGGATCTCTGTGGTGATTAATAGAGAGCAGTTTTGTTTTTGAAGCATTAAAGTTGACCAGCCAATTCCTGCCCCAGTTCACAACCGATTGGAGGTCCTTTTCGAGACGCACGGCCAGGTTAGTTTTGTCAGTGACACTAGATTTGTTTTTGAGGCAGGAGTAAATTGTGGTGTCATCCGCGTAGATGCCAACTTGGGAATTTATGGCGTCAGGAAGGTCATTTATGTAGATAAGGAATAGAGTGGGGCCTAGGATGGAGCCTTGAGGAACACCTGCGTTCGTGGGATAGGAACTGGAGGAGAATCCGTTGAGAACGACCTTCAATTCTCGGTTTGACAGGAATGATTGTATTAGATCAAACAATCGACCCGTAATGCCATAACCCTGGAGCTTACGAAGAAGGCCGGCATGCCAAACCCTATCAAACGCGTTGGCGATGTCTAGGGCCACGGCACGAACTTCCCCGTTATTTTGAAGAGCTTGGTAGACAGTTTCAGTGATGGCCATAAGCACATCAGCTGTAGATCGGGCAAAGCGGAAGCCATATTGTTTGTCTGAGAGCAGATCATGGGATGTAAGGTGGTTAACCACTTCGGTATTGATTAAGGCTTCGAAAACTTTGCCGAAGATGGGTAGGAGACTGATAGGACGGTAATTAGAAGGGTCAGAGGGGTCGCCAGAGTTCTTGAAGACAGGAACAATCGAAGATATATATATATATATATTTTTTATATATATATATATATATATATATATATATATATATATATATATATATATATAAAAAAAAGGCTTAAACACTAATATTCCATAGTCATAATTTATTCAATTGGAATCGTAAATACGACCCAATTCATCAAACCTACAAATTCAATTTTTGAATTTGTAGGTCGGATGAATTGGATCGATCGTTCGATAGATAGAAAAAAATCTGAAACAGATAGATAGATAGATAGATAGATAGATAGATAGATAGATAGATAGATATGGGTGCATCCAAAAATTGGCTAGAAAACCAGCTTACATGATGAAAAATGCCCCAAACGTAATAAAAAGTTTTATCGTAAAAATCTTTAAGATAAAAACCAAAGAAGCTTTTGATTATTAAAGTATATTTTTAAACCTTTTTAGAACCTTCGAAATTTTTGTTAAAATCTTTTGTCTTTCTATCCTCAACGTGCAACCACAAATTAGTATGGGAAATTTGAGCGTCTTTTTGCGGGGAAAAACACATTGATTGGGAAATTCTACGAAACAAAATAATTGTCGGATTTTAAGGAAACATTCAGGACGTCACAAATGAATAAAATTGTTTTAGAAACGTTTCTTTTTTTGAAAATCTTTGTAGCAGTAAGTTTTTTTTTTTCATCTTTTAACCCCAATTATTTAAAGCTAAAAAGCTAAAATAAAGCTAAAAGATTATTTAATTAGAGAAGATTTTAATCGCTTTTATGGATAAAGTACAGTGCTGTTCGATAAAAGTGACTCATCTGATTTTTTTACAAAATGTTCTCTTCTCCGATGAAACGATTTTTATGCAAATCACAAATCAAAATTGATGAAGGAATACTTTGATGAGAAGCAGGTGAGGGTTATGACATGGCCACCCCAATCTCCTGACATCAACCCCATAGAAAACTTATGAAGTATGTTGCTCAACTGCTTTCTCGAGAGCCTATACTTTATAATGCTCCATAAGTTTTCTATGGAGTTGAGGTCAAGAGATTGGGGCGGCCATGTCATAACACTCACCTGCTTCTCATCAAAGTATTCCTTCATCAATTTTGATTTGTGACAGGGAGCATTATCCTGTATAAAAATGAGCTTGGTGGGGTCGATTTGCACCCTTTCAGGAGAAGAGAGCAGACAAGACTCTAAAATTATCTTGTACTGCTCGCTCCTGAGGGTCTTTTCAATAGGTTTTAAGAAACCAGTTCCACGAAAAGAAAAGCATCCCCAGAACATTATACTGAACGGATGCTTGACAGTACTTACTGCTAAATTCAAAGAGCTTTCAAAGCTTCTTTGGATTTTAGATCGCTTATCTTTTGAATTTAGCTCAACTTTCGTTTCATCGGAGAAGAAAACATTTAGTAAAAAAAACAAAAAAAAAAAACAGGTGAGTCACTTTTATCGAACAGTACTGTATATCGTAGATACGATTGTTTTAAGAAATAACATTTTTTTCGATGAATAATGATTTTACAAGATTTTAAAAAAAGAAATTAAATTCTTTATTTTAATAATTTATAAAGTTTTAAATCTTTTAAAATTCTGTATTAATTTGTAGTGTGTTATAGAGGAATAAAGCGTCACTGCCAACACTTGAGTTTGAACATAGATCGCCAGTGAGTAAACACAGGCGATCATATCATTGAATTAAGTAGACCACATGACCATAGAGGAAACATATATATGGAAGGTAGCATGACGTCTAATTGATCGCTATATTCTAGTCTATCCTCTATACTATTCAGATCTTCATTTCTAGTCTAACCTCTATTAATATATTGTCCACTATTCTCTACTCTGTTAACTATACTATTTCTATATTCAGATCACTATTCAGATCATTGTTCAGTGGTTACTTTTCAAGCGAGTATTATCAGGCAAGTACTACTAGTGTGAGTGTTATTCGAAGGTGTCTGGCACCAATATCATTCAATGGTGTACTATAGTTGTATCTGCGATTACAAAGTCTCTACTACAACGAGCACTGTGAAAGTGACAATGAGTATTCGTTGGCATCACCAAATTGGAAACAAGTGTTTGTTGACATCACAAAAATTTATAAATGTGCAAGATGGATTCTGATGAGAAAAGTTTTCAATCATGAAACAGTGAACTAACTTTGTTTGCAGTTGCTGTAGCAGTTGATTCAGTATAGTCACTCCACTTCAGATCAGTTAGGTCAAGACAATGTACCTATAATATCGTTATATAGGAATAAAGTATCGTTGCCGACACTTGAGTTTGGGCAAACACAGACGATGCCATTATTGACTGAAGTGGATCACATGAGCATAGAAGAAACGCATATATAAGGAAGTCGCATGACGCCTTGATTGATCTCTATTTCTATACTATCCTCTATTTCTATACTATCCTCTATTACTATAAGAATCACATTTCCATTCTCTATACTATTCCCTATACTGATCACTATTCGGTGGTTACCTTTCGAGCGAGTATTATCAATCAAGTACTATTAGTGCGAGTGATATTAGAAGGCGTCTGATACCAGTATTGTTCAACGGCGTTACTCTGCTTGCAGCTGCGATTACAAAGTGTATTCGTTGTCATCACAAAAGTGGCAACAAGTGTTCGTCGATATCACAAAATAGTGTTTAGGTGCTATTCTTATTAAATAAAAACTATATTTAGTACTTATAAATGGAAAAGCTTACTACAATTCATCGATTCCAAGTATTTTAAAAAGAATTTTGAATTGTGTAAACGTGCCGATTTTTGTAACTATGGACGTCCATAGACGACATTATCAAACTTAAGAACGGCAACTATAGTCACTTTAAAATTCATTTGCAATTTTCTAACATTTCCTCAATAAGTGCCTTCGTAAGTAAGATTATAAAGCCAAAACACCTAAAATTCAATAAATATTAGATTAATTATAATATTTTCCTAAATTTCTAAAATAACATGGGTAGTTAAGAAATTAAATAAAAATGGTGTTCTTGCTGTATTCGTCAAGTAATATTTACAGTTATGTACCCTTTACTTAAAATTGCGAAACATTAAGCTATCGATAAATCTGTCAAGAGCACACCCTTGTATTAAAAATGCTTTTCTGCGATAGTTCAAATAAAAATACGTAATATTTGTTTTACTTCAGATTAATTAAACTTCAAATCAGTTAATCTTCCTCAAATAAAGTTTCAGAAAAGCATATTTTATTTTTGAAAGATTTTTTAATTAAAGAATTACATTGTGTCAATAAATTTGTCAATATGTCCGATTTTAGCGATTTAAGAAATCATTCCAATTAATGTAAGTTCTGTTTAATATATAGTAAAGTATTTTGATTATTGTAAATATTAAATTTCATCTATGACCTTTGAATTAAAATTAAAATGAAAGATTCAAGTATGATTTTTCATTTTATAAAATGCATTTTAAAACTTAGGCATCCCTTTCTGGGCGGTACCTACGTAAATAGATACGACGAAAGAGATATACACATAAATATGAATATAGGTATGAACAGACCGAAACATGGACCTCATTTCTGAAATTTTGCTCACGAGGTTCGCCATGATATTCATCTTGAGTGTGTGTGTGTGTGTGTGTGTTAATTCGATCTGTCTTTTCTTTTCTATCTATCTATCTATCTATCTATCTATCTATCTATCTATCTTTTCATTTCTATCTATCTATGCATCTTTCTTTTCATTCCTATCTATCATTCTGTCTTTTCATTCCTATCTATCTATCTATCTATGCATCTTTCTTTTTATTCCTATTTATCAGTCTGTCTTTTAATTAATATCTATCTATCTATCTATCTATCTATCTATGCATCTTTCTTTTCATTCCTATCTATCATTCTGTCTTTTCATTCCTATCTATCTATCTATCTATGCATCTTTCTTTTTATTCCTATTTATCAGTCTGTCTTTTAATTAATATCTATCTATCTATCTATCTATCTATCTATCTATCTATCTATCTATCTATGCATCTTTCTTTTCATTCCTATCTATCATTCTGTCTTTTCATTCCTATCTATCTATCTATCTATGCATCTTTCTTTTTATTCCTATTTATCAGTCTGTCTTTTAATTAATATCTATCTATCTATCTATCTATCTATGCATCTTTCTTTTTATTCCTATTTATAAGTCTGTCTTTTCATTCATATCTATCTATCTATCTATCTATCTATCTATCTATCTATCTATCTATCTATCTATCTCACCTGTATGTGTGTATGTGCCTTGTTTCGATCTACCAGTGTTCAATATCGTGGGATTGATATGAAATGAATGTAATATGTCTTTCATGGGTAAAGTCCTTTTCCTCCCCTGGAGACGTGGGTTTCTGTTCGAATCGATACAGTCCAATCAATATCTTCTGTCGACAAAAAAAATCGAATTACGGCATTTGGAACGCCATTATTATATAAATGCATTTCCCTTCCTTTTCTGCGGCTTTAATCGCCAGAGGTGAAGACCGGAAATAAATAATTCCTCTGTTTTGTTTAACAATGGGTTACAAAGAACAAGAGATGCTGACAATTCGGACATGTTAAAGAGAAGTCACCAAGTGCATTTTGTTAAAGGTAAAGGTGAAAGTTCGCGACGTTATAAGGAAATAAAAAATGGGACGACAAATCTACGGGAAGAATCAATCTTCTGTCTGTCAGATAAACTTTATAAGAGTATAGTAACTGAACAAAGTCTTAATTTATCGATTTGTTTTTTTACGGCTTATCAATACTTTGTGGATTATTTAAAGCCGAAACATACATTTTTTAAGTATAACCCCAACCAATGTTTACCTACGGACTCAAGAGTAAACCCAACCAATTGTTGTCCATAGACTAACGTATAAAACCGACCAATGGTTTTCTACAGTCTCAAGTATAAACCTAACTAATATTTACCTACAGACTCAAGTATAAACTCAACTGATCTTTACTTACAGCCTCAAGTATAAACCAACTAAGCTTTACCTATGGTCTCGGGTATAAACCCAACTAATCTTTACCTACAGTCTTAGGTATAAAACCAACTAAGCTTTACCTACAGTCTCAGGTATAAACGCAATACTTACCTACAGACTCAAGTATAAACTCAACTAATACTTACCTATAGTCTCAAGTATAAACTCAACTAATCTTTACCTACAGTCTCAAGTATAAACTCAACTAATCTTTACCTAGTCTCAAGTATAAACTATACTAATCTTTACCTACAGTCTCAAGTATAAACTCAACTAATCTTTACCTACAGTCTCAAGTATAAACCCAACTAATCTCTACCAACATTCTCAAGAATAAACCCAACTAATCTCTACCTACAGACTCGAGTTTACAAACCCAACCAATCGTTTTCAATAGACTAACATATAGACCGCTCCAGTAGGAAAAAAAGAGCAAAAAGAAAATGAACAGAAACGGGGAGGAGAAAAGAGTAAGAAAGATGAAATCGAAAAGAAAGGAAGAAAGAAAAGATAAAGAAAGAAAGAAAGAAAGAAATAGTAGAGAAGAAGAAAAAGAAAAAGTGCGTGAAGAAAAAAGAAAGAAAGAAAGAGCCTGAAGAAAAGATGAAAAAAAAAGAAAGAAAATTGAAACAGTAGAAAATAAGGGGAAAAGAAAGAAAAAAAGAAAATAAAGGAAAGAATACAAAAGAAAAGAAAACGAAAATAAGAAAAAGAGGAAGAAAGCAAAAAAAGAAAAAAATATCTTATTCCCGACTTTCTGCTTGCAAATTTCTCTGGTTTCTTTGTGCTTGGTTCTGTCCGTCGTTCAATTTTCAAGCATTACCCTTGGGACGGAGCAAGAATTCAAACAACGGACCTTTGAGCAATTGTTTTACATTAAATCAGTTAGTTTATTATTATATTTATCGAAAACATGACAAGTCAACAGCTGGAACCAATGGAGAAGAGTAAAAATGAACTCGTCCGATGACGGCCTAAGCCCAGATATAAAAGGATATTGGAGAATGTGCAGTTAGTAAACCTAAATCCAGCAGCGCAGCAAGCAACCCTGCCTTGGTAATATTAACCGTTTCCCTATAAGGAAACACTCGGCATTCATTAGCCGAGAAGCCAGTACTATTTTCGGTCGAAATTTATAAAATACGCTTTTTTTTAGGAAAACAGGTTTGTCAAGTCCATTAAGTGTTAGCGCTCTTTCTAGTATTGATAAGGGTTTCCACCCGAAAACTTTCTGCTAGAAATGGTGCAGAATGTTAACATCTTGATTATGTCATTGTTTTCTCTTCGTGTAACTTGTTCTATCGATTTTCATGGAGTAATGGATAGCGGTTTGGATTGAGGAATCGGAGAGCCGAGTTTTTATTCCACTTCGAATCCATTACATTCACTTACGTGCTAATACTCTTGGGAAAGGTATGAATCCTCTTCTTCTCACCCACCAGCTATGGGTAAATAGCAGAACAGGCCGGGTTCTATAAACTTGGATGGCAACTGGTCTACCGCAGAAAGTAATGGCGACCTACTGCGGGAAAAAGATCTGTTTCGTCAGTCATGTATCGAAAGATACATGATCGCCTAAGCGTATATCACGCATGGCACATAACTGACTGACTATTATTGGTAGTCTTCAAGTGATACGGTTTCTGTTATTTGGTTCTTTGTGATTCTGTAGCGCCAAGACGCAATATTCAGAGAGGGACACTCAGTTGATTCGTAGATCGAGCAAAATGCTTAAATTAGAATTATTTGACCCATCTTCAGTTAGATTGGAGCAAAACTATGTTGATGTTATAAAGATTCCGATTTCATTTCCAACCTCCGTTTTGGTTATTCCTCATTCAGTAACCCTCTCAAGGTTACAACAATACATATATATACATACATATATATATATATATATATATATATATATATATATATTATATATTTAAAAATATGATTCCAAATCGCGACATAAGAGGTCTCATGTTTCAAAACAAAAGAATGAAAAACTGCAATATAATTATTGGAATTAAATTGAGCTAAAATAAGCTCTATTCCATCTTCAAGCGAAATTTTTTTTGGAATAACGTAAAAAAAAAAAATTTGGCTTGAAGATGGAACAAAACTTAACTAATTTAATTTAAATTTTAAATTGATTTTCGTTTTTATTTTGAAACATTATCACGAGTTGGAATCATAAAATAAATAATTATATTATGCTTTTTTTGTATCGAGCACTATTTTTTTTTAAAAATAATAACTAAAATACTAAAGGACTTTGGATTATTTACCTAACCAGTTCCTTCCTATTTTCTATATATTTTCACATATTATATATATATATATATATATATATATATATATATATATATATATATATATATATATAAGTGAACACTGAAGTTAACACTTAGAGGGGAGGGGCTGTTTCATGCTAGACGGAATCGGCAGGCCTCGAGTGCTGTTTTTTTCTCGGCTATCGATAGCCGAAAAATAAATTGTACTCGTGGCTTGCCGATTCCGTCTAACATGAAAGAGCCTGTCGCGTCTAAGTGTTAACTTCAACGTTCACTTTTATATTCACACACGCTCTATCTTTGATATTGAGCACTTTATCTCATAAATATAGCCCACCTTAAAAAAGTATATTTCTTCATATATATATATATATATATATATATATATATATATATATATAAGTGAACATTGAAGTCAACACTCAGAGACGACAGATTGTTTCATACTAAACGCAATCCTCAGGCCTGTGTTAGGGTTAGGTTAATATTCAGTTTTATATTTACATACGCTCTATCTTTGATATTGAGCACTTTATCTTATAAACATAGCATATATTTATTTCTTCTTCCTCTCATATATATATATATATATATATATATATATATATATATATATATATATATATATATATATATATATATACAACTCTAGGATTAGTGTAGATGGAATAAAATTTCAGTAAACAAAAACACTATTCTTAAAAAGAGCGCTCAATACAAAGTATAGCAAATATTATTTATTCGAAAATTATAACATAAACATCTTATAATATTCATGACCATCAATTGGGAAAACATTTGAAGTGTTGAAAGAAAATGGCTATTTTTGTCGTGATTTTAAAAATTAAAAAATTATAACATAAATATGTTATAATTTATATATATATATATATATATATATATATATATATATATATATATATATATATATATATATATCATAATTATATGCTTTGTTAGTCGGACCTGCATACAAAACTTGTTTGCTATGTTCATAAGGTTACCGTTGTTGTTACCTCCGGCCCTCTGAAGGAAATATCTCTTTGTGCTTGGTAATGTTCTTCGAATTTCGAATAGAACACTTTACACAAGGCTAGATTGTTCTCAGTCCATTTTTCTTGTTCATCTACCACTTACATCGTGCTTATCTGTTTCTTGCATTCAGCGAGATTGTGGTATTTTCAGCACTACCAGACAAGTATTGTGCCAAAGAATTAGACATCATTTCACTCCAAGCAAAGCAATAAAGCCACTAAGACGCAAGGAGTTACTGAGTGCGACTGAATAAAAAAAAAGAAAAAACGGAGAGAACAGAAAAAACAGTAACTAATAAGACAAAAGATAATGACATTAAGAAGCTGTAAGCATAGAACTTACGGTTACACCTAGCAATTTCTACTGTAAAACCTGTGAGACCTAACTGCCAATCTAGTACAGAGCTTAAATTCATAAATCAAAGAGGAATGTCTATCATAACAGTTACCATGAAAATATCTATAGAAAAAAGCACCGGGAAGCTACGTTAGGGCGGGTGGCAAAGTGACTGAAACCGAGATACTTGATCAGGACCGATAACATTGCAGATTGTTTTTTGCATTTTATCAAGAATCACTAAATATTTAGCAGAATCACCAGACCAGAAGCGACAGCAATATTCAATGGACGACTTATAAATGTGATTGATAGATTTTGGCAAACAAAATTATTCTGCACGACACATGGGGCCAACTTTCCTTGCAGCAGACCTAGCATTTGATTCAATATAATCTTTCAACTTCATGTTAGCGGAAAACGTATATCCGAGAAGGCGTAATATATCACTCTCCCGGAGATTAACATCAGCCAGTCTGGTGGAAGGCCAAAATGTTCTCTAACACGATTAAAAGTGAGAAATTTTGTTTTGGAGTTTTTAAAATTAACAAGCCATTCCTTGTCCCATATAACAACAGTTTGTAGTTAATGTTTTTAGATCAGTTGCTAATTTGATCTTATCGAACCGATCAGACTTATCATTAAGACAAGAGTAAATAGATTTGTCATCCGCATAGATAGAGCGTTGATAGCATTGTGAATTTTGTTGATGAAAATTAGGAAAGATATGTGCTTTAATTTGCGATGATTTTATGTCATCTTGTGTTGGACTTTCTGGAGACTTACATATACTTATATTCAGCTTGGTAAATAACAGAGGTGTCGCTACGTAGAATAATGGTTAACGACTTAGTTTGGAGATAATCAATATTATGAAGTTAGTTTTTAGAGGGAATTATAATAAATAATATCATTGCTTTCTAATCCCAGCAAACGTTGTTTTGGAAGGTTTACTTTCTTTTTTTATGAATATAACTTCTATCCTTCGTATAGTCGCGATACATTGGAGCAAGCACACACACACACACACACACACACACACACACACACACACACACACACACACACACACACAGACCTTCTGTTTAGAAGACAGTCTTCCTGGTTAGTTATTTGTAGATTAGAAGAGAAACCAGCCTGCCCCTGCGTCTATACTGAAATCGATAAGTGGACGGTGGAGTGTGGTGAGTGCATGTAGGATCGTCCTTCGCTTTGGTACAGGGTGTTTTATATTTGATTTTGCTTATTCAAGTATCTGGTTTCAGAAACTAAGTTAGCTGGTTGACATCTACTAACGAATACTGGTTTTAATGTGAATGAAGTTGTTAAGATGATCAGTAGATATACTTTTCAAGGATATTTTAAAATATTTTTATTTCTTATTTTTGACTAGAAGGCAATTTGCAGATCACGAAAACAAAACAAAAAAAAAAGCTGTGAAGAACGCTCTGAAGGGAAATTGCAGTTCTTCTTTTTTATTTATTTAAGTGCGAAATTAACTCAATGCTTCAGTTTTTCACTGAAGCTAGCTGTCGGGACATCGACATTTTTAGCTATGGCAATATCCAGAAAAATCTATTTCTCATCTTAGCCTCAGTCTTTAAAAGCCGAGGAACAACAAAGTAATTGACACAGATGTACACGGGAGGCGACCACCAAAGATGAAAATGACATAATCTGAAGACGACGAGCAGGAAAGAGTTAATTTACCACTGAATCAAAATGCATTGACAAGGAAAAAAACTGTGCCGAGAATAGATATCTATCATCTAAAACAAACGCAACTGACTCAGTGTTAACATGAAGTGAAAGAAAACAGAAAGATAGACAAATAAAAAAAGACAGGGGGGTGGCTAGCTTGAAAATTTATTGTTATGTCATCATTCGTACATTCTCTAGTGTTTATCCGATACGGTAGATGGGAAAAGTCGAAAACCGAAGCCACATCGGTGGCCTGGTTGTTAGGTATCGACTTACACAGAGTTAGGCATACCATCAGAAGTATAACGTACAGGCTGGCATAACTAAACACATACGTACCCTAAAGCTAACACGGGCTTACGGCCGTATCACGTTGAAAACGTCGGTTCCCGTGTGATCAGCGAAGTTAAGCAACGTGGAGCCTGGTTAGTGCCTAGATGGGTCACCGCTTGGGAATGCCAGGT